GATGGTACTAATGATCATTTTGTTGCTGCAGGTTCAAGGATAGTGATATCGGTGTTGTGTGTGCCTCTAGTTGTTGGGTACGTCCGACCTCCACAACTGGGACTGCCTAATGTCGATGAGTCCGACATAAGCTGCAACCCTCCTGGGCCTCACTTGGTTTGCATAATGCCTCTAGCACTCAGCTCTTCTTTCTGCATCCCCGTATGACCTTATTTTATGCCATATTTTTCTAAATGTGTAAACTTTTTACGACTGTGATCGCTGTTGCTGTAACTTTTACCACTGGAAATAGTGTACTAGCTTTCTGGAGGCGGGTAATTTTCGGATACATCCATTTGTGGTCTGGCCTCTGTGAAAATTCGAGTTTGATGTATCGGCTAGTCATAATGGAGATCGAGAAGAGGGGTTGTTGTAGTTAGGTTTCTGGTGATAGTAGTTTCAAGTTTGCTGTACTTGTATAGCGAGAACTTGATAGTTTATTTGAAAGATTTGCAAGCTTTAGCATGCTGAGATTTTCTCCTGTCACTATAAAACTATCGGGGTAAATGCCACATTTGGTCACTGAAATTACTAAATCGTGTTATATATGTTTAGTCACCAGAAAAGAGGACTTGGTGGGTGACAACCCACAAGTATTAGTCGCCTCATCCTGCCTCTTCTGCTTCTTCTTACTTCTGCGTCTCTTAGACGAATCAAGTACTCTACCAGCATCATCATCACCGTCTTCTTCTTCTTCCTCGTAATGATTCTTATTAACCTTGTTGGGCAGTTGCTCCTCCCTCACTTCACCTGTTGTGTGCTTACTGGAGATATCCCAGTGCAAAAGAAACGCTGATTGGGTCGCTTTACTCAGAGAAGGTAACTACTGGATGAACACACATCAACAAATGAATGGACAGTGACAGTACAAGCTAGTTCTACGAAGGGCATACCAGGGCATGGGAAGGAACCAAAACGAACATACTTTCCTGTGATTGACAATGTAGAGGGGAAATCGTTCAACGATTCGATCTTCAAGATCGAAGATGCCACAAGCATTGCCATAGCCAGACCCGTAGAGCGGATAATCAACTGCATAATAGATCATATTCTCCATGACCCCATTGTTGCTGCCAACAGCAGCAGGGAGGGCAAAGGACTGGTGAGAATCAAGGAACAAAGCATAACCATCCAATTTCATCACTTCCTCCCAACCATAGTCTTCATCGTCGTTTCATGTAATTGCTCGCTTGAATACATTGAATCGGTTGTCCCTGCCATCTCTAGCCCCTTTGAATGAGCGAAGGATGATCAGGGGATCGGATTGTGATCATTACCATCATAAGACTGACAAATATTGCAAGTAAGCTGCAGTTGCACCTTGAACCAATCGCAAGTGAGCTGCCATTTACGTATTAAAATTAGAGCGACCGTTGATAATTTTAGGGCGACCTATAGCAATTCAGATTAGGATTAATGTAGGGTTAAAAGCTTTGAAAACCTCACCATTGTGTGGGGGATTGAAAGCTATGGACAAGTCATTCACCTTGATTGCATCGATCTAACGTAACCATTAATGTGTTAATGTACATTACTATACAGGAGCAGTTTGCAGTGACAAACAGAGAGTTATAACATGGGCAATGCATTTTTTTATCCGCCAGTAGCCACCTTCTTCCCACCACCTTCTGTGTCGTTTGCTGAGGAGGTTGATAGTTTTTCATGAATTGGCGTCTCAGTGAGATCAGTTTATGCTGCTTGACTCATCCTACTCAGTGGGCATCTTTCCAACTTCTAACCGAGCCATTAAATCTTGAAGCTGTAAAACCACAAAGCTCGTCTGTAAAGTCAACCCATGCAGGCTTGCTTCCTCAGTTCTACTGTATAACTAGAATCAATACCCACGGCTACGCCGCGGGAGATATAGTCGTGTTTAGCATATGTAAAAACATTCATACTACTTATCATCATAATGATTATTTACGGAACATTAGCCTATATACTCTCGAGTAAATACTTTTCTAGATATGGAACTCATTATTTTAGACATCAAATCAATACATACCCAGGTTATCATGCTAGAATTTTGAGCAATCTTCATTATAAAAGAAGCAATCATTAACCCGTATCAACAAAAGAGTAGAGGTCTTAAGTTCGAAACCTCATCATCCCATATATCTTTTTTGAGAAAAAAAAGAGTAGTAACTTAAACAATATAAGGGGGAAAGTCACTAAACTACTTCTCTTCGAAAAAATATGCTCTTACAAAATGGAAGTAAACAAATAAAACCTCAAACGCCGACCTGTCAACATGGTATCAAACGCTTAATCGTCAATAGAATTCAATGTAGGACATGATACTTATTTTGGTATACTTTCCCTCAAAGATCCTCCTATTCCTCTCCTTATGTACACACCAGTACATAGCAAGAAGAAGACTTATAATCTGCAAATTCTGCAATGGATTTCTTCTCCTTCACTTCTTTCTTTAATTTGTTTTTCTTCATCCCATATATTGTAGAAGCATTGCAAAATTGCAGAATCAGAATTACAACAAAAAGAAAAAAAGTGCAGCAGCAACTAAAAACAAAACCAGAAAAAAGCCAAAAAGAGAAGAATTCAATGTAGGACATGATACTTATTTTGGTATAAGTTTCTGTAATAGAATGTTGATATACCTGAAAGTTAGAACCAACATGTTTCTTTCCAGAAAGAAAGAGAATGTAAAGCAAGCGCCTCAAAAGAAGAAGAGTGTACTAAGTATCTCCAAATATAAATGAAGTCAAATGTTACCTGAAGTTTGGCATGAGAAATCTGCCTAGAGACCATTCAAGCAGAACACCTGCAAACTACAGCAGCCAGGAATAGCTATACATTAGGAAATATTAAATCCAAAATGAAATCATGAAATTTAAACCCCTGCCTCTAGTTCAACAGCGGTAAATGAATCATATATATACATATATGCCAAAGAAATCTCATTTCACACCAGAAGGAAAAACACATCAAAGTTGCAAGTTGCAAGTTACAACCTCTATTCTGATAAGGTCATTTTTCTATTCTGCAGCAACATGAAATGGCCTGAAGTTTTTTTTATCATGGCAACATAAAACATATTAATTAGAAAAAAAAGCATACAAATCTGCAACAGGAAATCTTCTCTTTCCATCTCATCTGACTACAACAGACTGCTTGCCGTAGGTCAGCTACTACTATCCTACCAAATACTACTCTCGAAGTCTAATTGGCATCCAATCTCAACCAGCTAAAACTGAACCAAAAGGCAACGCAAGGGTTGTATCACATCAGGCTCTTCACAATAGATCAAGAACATGGGAAGAATTTATATGATATAACAGAAGCACTATCATGCTTCTTTTTTTTTTCTTTCTTACCAATGAAATAGCCATCTCAGTGCTTTTTGCCCTCAAGTAAGACTCCTCAAATTGCACGGGGTTGATTGTCTTTCATGCTTCAAGTCTCCACTAGCGGAGCTGAGACCAACAATCTTTTTGAATTTGAAATCCACTCTTCCGCGATCTGAAGATCCACCTTCTTTGTGACTGGAAAGAATGTGGAAACAGGTAAGCAACCCATTAAGATGAGCATACACTAATATACACAGAGGGAATAGAAGATATAGGATAAGTAGCATTGTACATTAACTTGCCAACGCTAGATTCACACTTGCTAAGCTATTGCACAGATCCCTATTACCCGCTGCACTTATATGGCCATATATATAACGACGTTAATCCAATTACTCATAAACTACTTAAGAAGCGATTGAAAAACAAAAGGAAGCTAGGAAGAAAGGGGAAATATATTGTATAAGACTATGTACCATAAGCTAATTGATCGCATTGAATCATGGTGCAAGTGTCTTGACACCACAACTCATCAGAGTCCTGGGAGGTGCACAGATCTAGATGATTATTAGTATAACAGAGCACCAACACACCCAAGAAAATCACCGCCAATGCCTCTTCTCCATTCTCAATATAAATGAGGGCAAAGCACATTGAAGCCATAGCTTCTCATTCGGTGCGCATGCGGCTTTTCCCAATCATACGTCACCATCATCGCCAACACGTCGCCGTAAATAGAGTGTAGACTGAGAGAAACTCTGCTTACACGTTAGATTGTTTGGAAAGATAAAGATATAATTGTATGTTGGAAGAAAATTGGGAGTGATGTGATTGGAGAAGGAAGAGTATAGAGAAGAGAAGAATTTGTCAGGGAGTGGGGTGACAGAAGAAAGGGGAAGGTGAAGATTTTATTTTGTGGCACTGGCCGTTGAACTTCCTTTTCTTTTTTAGAGTTCTGAAGTTTTTTTTGTGCGTGAGCGAAGGATTGGGAAGATGGAGGAGTTTCACTAAATGACAAATAATGAAACAATAACCAAAACAATTGGGCAATAAAGTGTACCAACGTTTCATATATAAAAGAATATGCGTTATCCATATCCAACTCCTCTCATTTGAAGAGATTGAAAAAGCCGACGTTCACTCGAAACTCACCGAAGAAGTCGAAAGTTGCCGTATGTTTTTGTTATCTGCCCTCTTCATTCCTTTTCATTGGCGAAAAAAAGAACAGCGAGATGCTGCCTCTCTCTTATCTCTTATCAACATTCCTTGTCAAAAATTAAAGCATTATTAGTTCAAAAGTTTGCCACTAATTACAAACTTTCTTTTGTCCTCTACTTAAAATTTAGAAAGTTTCTGTTCACTGCTAGCGATGAGAAATACTATGATCATTCGCCCGACTTCTTATACTAATATGACCAATACGAGATAATGCCGGCGAATCTGGTGGCTGGCCGGCAGGTAATATTATTCCTGCCGGTTTACGTATTTGGTCCGTTGCCGGAGAGTCGAGACGGTCATTCCCATCGGAAGAGATACAGCTAGCTAGCTAGCTAGCACTTCCTACTGCAGATACTATTTATAGATAAGATCTCAGAGCGGCATGTATTCATAGTCCAACTATACATTCGGTAAAGGAAACCTACTAAACAGAACCATCAACAACGTAAACTGACGGCTAGCCATGTCGATGCCTTTGTCCCTCTTGCTTTCCTTGCTTCTTCTAATTTCCTGCAAGTACTGGCAGCCAAGCGTGTCGAGAATGGAACCCTACTCGGCGAAGAAAGATGATGATGCAGCTCTTCCTGCCAAGGCTCCGGAGGCGCCTAATAATAATAATAATAATAATAATGGCCCAAACGACGACGTCCCTCGCGGAATCCCAGTGGCGGGCATAGATGATTATGAGTATCCAGTCTGTTGGAGTGATGATGATTGCCAGTCAATCCTGCCCTGCAAAGATGGCACAAAGGCCCGTTGTTCCGATGAGGGTGCCACCTGCGTCTGTCTTCCTTAATTAGTTCCGGCGGATTCGATCGATCTCTCCATTAAAATCTACGTACGTCGAAGTCTCTTGCGGCCGGCCGACTGCTGTTTTGTCCTTTCAATTATCCATTAATTTCCTCTTGCATATTTTCGCAAACATACTTGTGGTGTTTGAGTTGAGCTTCAGTTTAACTTATTATCTTATCGAAATATACAAAAAAAAAAAAAAAAAAAAAAAATTCAACTCTTGCTACGGCTTATAATTATTTATGATCGAAACGATTGGCGAGTCGAGCTGAAGTCAAGCATTTCCGAATCCTAATCAGGTTTGGCTCAAACAAAATTCCCGGGCTCGATCAAGATTTTAAAATGACATTTAATTCAATTCATTTGTGAAAAAATAAAACATTTGTATGTTTCTTTTGCAATCCCCGCTACATACAACCCTAGTAAAAGAGTTTGTGTTTGGAACTTTGGATGTTGCAACTCCTTTACGACTTTACGCAACACATGTTTGGAGTTGCAAGAGATCATTTTTTTCCTATAGTGATGCTTTTTTTTTCTATTTTAAGAGACATATTCATCCGGACATATGATAAAATTGGAATGAGACATAGAAGGTGTGTATTTGTTTTTATTTAAGTTAAAATACTTAGAATATGATTAATTTGGTCTAGTAGTACTATCGTTGATCTTCAACCTATATATATGAAGTCCGAACTTCTTAAATAGCATATAACAATAAAAACAAATCTATATCACACTTTAACAAAATGAAATATTGAATAAACTACAAGGCATCATTCGTTGAATCTAAAAAATTTGTCCCCTCTCACTGATAAAATGAGATCAACACAGGGAAAAAAAAAGATTCACTCAAGCTTTCATCATCACACTGCCGTTGTTGGTTAGTAGCTACTGGTGCATGTGTTAAGAAAATCAAGCCATAAATTGGGCTTAGTTATGAATAAGGGTTGGCTTAGTGGTAATACCACTAGCTTAGAACTTGGAGGTCCTAGATTTGAATCACTTAAGTAGTATTTTAATGACAATAAGTGAAACCTATATTACTCTTATCCAAAAAAAATTATGGGCTTACGTATTTTTTCCATTTTATTAATTAGTTCATGTTTATATTGTTTAATTGTTTTAGGCAGGATTTTGATTGCTTTTTAATATTCTTTAGGAATATATGCTAGTTTTTTTGTGGGAGAAGGTTACATATTTTGTATAAGAAAGGGAAAAGAGGGGTCGAACGAGGAGGGAAGGAGTAGGGCTGCAAATGAGCCAAGCCGCTCGCGAGCAACTCGGCGTTCGAATCGGAAAAAACTCGTTCGACACTCGACTCGTTATTTAACAAGCCGGCTCGCGAGCCAACTCGTTAGTTAACGAGCCAAGCCTGAGCTAGACCATGCTCAGCTTGATAAGCTCGCGAGCTAGCTTGATTCGGTGGCTTGTCGAGCTAAGCTCGCGAGCTGCCTTGTTTTGAGCTTGTGGAAGGATGAATTACTCTTTTAAACATGAACATTGTCTTATAATACAGATGTGTATGAAATTTAGATGTTATTTCTAGTTTCTAGTGTTCTTTCTATCATTTAAATTCTTATGTTTATACATTTTTCCAGCAAAAATGATTTTAAATCGAGCTCATCTTGAGCCGAGCTTGTACTCAGCTTAACAAGCTATGTTAATGAGCATTTATCGAGCTCTACCGAGTCGAGCTCGAGCTAGATTATTTTTATTCAAGCCGAGCTCGAGCTCGAGCTGGATTATCAAAATTCGAGTTCGAGCCGAGCTCGAGCTGAAAAATTAATAAACGAGCCGAGCTCAAGCTAAGCAAAAACTCGACTCGACTCGGCTCGTTTGCAGCCCTATGAAGGAGAATGATTTTTGGGATTTCTATGCATATTAATATGTCCTTGCTCATTAGTGAATATCATTGAAGATTGTAACCCAATTTATATTTCTTGTTTTGTGATTAATTTAGTAGTTTTGTGGTAATTTAGAGTAATTCTCGCCATCAACGAGATTCTCGAATCGAGAGCGTCAGGTAACTTATCCAAAGTTCGTGTACGAGGATTTCTATCGAGAAAGTCACATAATAGCATGTTAGTAATAAGGCGACACTTGGAAGCTCAACAAGGACCCTCAACCTACTTGGGACATTGGTGGAACCAGTTGAGCAGGTTCAGGAAACACAAACATTGACTCTAGTCCAGGAAGCTCAACTTAACTACGGAAATATGTTGGGCTGCCCGGAAAAGAAAAGGAAGCTGGAACAGAGGGCACTGGCGGAGTTGGGTCCTGCAGAACATCACCAGCCTCCAAGTTTTTCATCTGACTATCTTCTGTTTTCTCCAGGTCCGATAATTGCAGAAAAACAGAGGAAGCTGCGCATTCGAAGGAGGTCGATCATAGTAGCTCCCATAGAGTACAATGGCTCATATGGGGAGACAACGACTGACACAAGGGCAGCGGTGGTCCGCCTTGAGCCAGCTCCGGCTGAATGATGTTGTTTAGCTAGAACTGTAGGGGGTATGGCCAACCCCTTACAAGGAGCCACTGTGCCAGAATTTTTCGCAAATATAGGTCGTCTTTCCTCTTCCTCGTGGAGACAAAAAAAAAAAAACGACAGAGCGTTCGTGGAAGCAGAGAGGAGAAAGACCATTTTCACTAATACGGAATATGTAGATCCTACGGAAGGATATAGTGGTTTGTCCCTATGGTGGAAAGTAGGAGTTCATTTTCAGCTTCTTAACTCATGCTCAGCCTACATAGATGGTGTGGTTTCTTTCGGTTGTAAGGTTTTCTTCTGCACTTTTGTTCACGCCCCTGCTTCACCTAGTAGTAGGAGGGATTTCTGGGAGCATCTTAGATCCATTCGTCGCCATAGAGACGATGCTTGACTCGTCATTGGATACCTCAATGTAGCACTTTGCGAAGCTGAAAAAGAGGGGAGGAACCCTCTTAGAGATGAAAATGTTCAGGCTTTTAAGTATTTCATATCTAGCAATGCTCTGATCGATATTGGTTTTAAAGGCCAAGTCTTCACATGGTATAACAAACACCAGGGAGACAAACTGATTAGGGAAAGATTGGACAGAGGGTTGTGTTCTGCATCGTGGAGAATCATGTTTGACAAAGCTATGGTGTTCCATGAAGAAATGATTCAATCTGATCATTGCCCGTTGAGACTTGACCTTGAGGTTAAGGAAAGGAGACAAAGAGTCCCATTCAGATTTGATAAAAGATGGAAGAGTCTGAGGAGTGTGTTGATATCATTAACCAAATCTGGATCTCAGAGGAAGAAATGGAGTAAAAGTTGACAAAATGTGTTGCTGATGTTAGTAGTTAGGGGTGATAATCGGTTGTCGGTTATACGGTTTAACCGAACAACCGAACCGAAAATCGATAACAGCCTGGCGGTGTCGGCGTCGGTTGGCAGATTTGGGTTATAATTCTAACCGAAAACCGCGAGTGAAGTAACCGAGATAAACTCGGTTCACCGAAAAACCGACTTCTCACCCCTTTAGTCTCCCACTGCAAGTTTGAAACCCCCACTCTCTTCCTCTTCCTCGTCCAAGACAACAAGATTTTCCCTCTCCTCTCGCCAGTCTCTCCCTTCTTCTCCCTCCTCCATCGCTAACCCGTATCGAAAAACAATAAGGCGCCTTTGTCTCTCCCTCTCCCCTAGCCGCTCTCCGCCTCTCCCCCTTTCTTAATTTCCCTGTATCCTCCAGATCCAAGGTCACAAAGCGGCGATTTGGTTCTCCTCCGCCGATAAGAAAGCGGCGATAGTCGAGATTCAGCGAACAAAGGCCAAGAAGGAGAAGAGGGTCGTTGTTGGCTTGCTCTAGTGAAGATCGGTCGTCCATCGCCATCTCCGTCCCCTGATTCCTCGTTGTCCATCGTCGTCGCCATGCCTTCCTCGGTGTCCGTCGCCGTCACTTGATAGAAGAAAATAAGACATGCAAGGGGTGATTGTCACCCCCTACTTCTGTCGATTTTCCCTCTTGGATGGATCCTCACCGGTTCTAATTGCCATCTCACCCCAATTCCATCCAGAAATTTGGCGATTCGGCGGCGAGATTCGACACTCGGATCCAGAAATCCGACCAGATCCACCCCCTGCGTCGGTCTTCAGCTAACCGCGACACCGACCCGAAACCGTTGATGGCGGTTTTCGGCTAACCGACAAGGCAATCGGTGGCGGTTGGGGATTTTGGATGATTGTCGCCTGCGGTTAACCGCGTTGGCGGTTCGGTTAAAACCGAAACCGCACCGCTAACAGCTCTATTAGTAGTTGGTGTAGAGAAAAGAGAAAACAAACTATGGCAAGGGAGGAAGATATAAAACTACGGTTGACACAGCTACAAGGTTCGACCAGAATTTAGGGAGAAGTGGATGAAGAAGCAGCCTTAATGGTTGAACTCTCGAAGACGTGGAAAGCAGAAGAAGAATTCTGGGCGCAAAGATCAAGGATCGGTTGGCTATAGGAGGGGGATCGAAACACAGGTTTCTTTCATGCTTCCATGGTAAAAAGAAAGAACCATAACAAGATCATGAGACTCCACAATGAGGAGGGTGACTGGTTGGAAGAAGAACAAGTACTAAAAGAGCACTACAGAAGCTATTATGTGAACCTTTTCACGAGACGTACCCCTATTCACCTGGATTTTATTCTCGAGGAATTCCCAACCATTGTTACATCATAAATGAACAACCATCTCTGTGGTCATATTACAAATGAGGAAATTAGGAAGGCAACCTTCCAATTGGGGCACTCAAAAGTGCCAGGCCCTGAGGGCTTCCCGGGTTTCTTCTTTCGAAGGTATTGGAGTACAGTGGGAGAAAGTGTGTATAAAGAAGCCGGACAGTTTTTCGAAACAGGGAAGATGGCAGAGGGATGGAATAAAACTTTCATTACTCTAGTCCCAAAAGTTGATATTCCATAGATGATATCCCAAATTCAGGCCCATCAGCTGCTGTAATTTTCGATATAAGATTATTACGAAAATCATGGCTTCGCGTCTTCAACAATGGATGCCTACTCTGGTGTCCGAATTACAATCAGCTTTTGC